TAGATGATAATAAATAACATAGTTATGTATAATATATTACATTTCTGACTGTATATCCCTGTAATTATTACACACTGTAGCTTTAACATCTCTAAGTCTAAATAAAAAAAAAACTTATAGTTTATAGTACAGTTTTTAAAACTACATTTCATCATTCTGTCATGTTAATGACAGGTTTTGTTTTTTGTTTTTCTAATGTTGGTAATAGTTGATGCCACTCTGTCCCATAAACGTTGGTATCTCCCAATAACTAATTAGATTGACCGAAAAAAAAACAGAATAGCCGGCAAAATCTCACCCTTTAAATGTCTAAAACACATATAGATGCAAATGTACTATCTTTGTTTGTTTTTTTAAATATCAAGAGGTTTAAAAACTGGTAGTTAAATTCTAATTTCTAATCTTTGTTTTTAATTATTAACTTTGTTTTATTAGCTATCCTGTAATAAAATACTACGTTTTCGCAAAGTACTGAATTTTCATGTTAACAGCCATATAATTATTTTTAAAAAATGTAATCTGTTTCTACTTTTCAAGGATTATATTTATTACTTTTTAAAATTGTATGTTCCAGAATTGATTGGTTCCTGTTGAGGCGAGACCAAATCATTAATTAAATACAATGTTTTAGCCTTTTACCTTTAGATGTGTGTTTGACATCAGGATGTGTATTGTGGAAGACGGCTGAGATAATAAATTTAAACCAATACGGTTTATATCTTATTTTAAGTTAGCGCCTTTGCTGTTAATATGTAATGCTTGATCATTTCATGTGGCAATGCTTGCAAGTCAGGATGCTGCTGGAACCGAGAACAACAGCTGACATTCAAATGAAAGGAGCCAGATGAGTTTCTGCATTCTGAAAGGTTTATTTATATTTCTGGAGCTTTGTACAAAGTTTCACAGCTGCAGGTGTTTTCTCAAAGGCATACAGAGCAAGAGGAAGCGGCCCTCTGAAAGGAAACTGAAAACCTGCAAGAATTAAGTGATAACAGCAGTTCACGGCGTGGTGGCTTTGGTATCTGAACAAACTGACGAAACTGAAACTGATGTCTTCGCCGAGTTAATAACAAAAAACCTCAAGACTTCTTGTTTGTATTTTGGATGTTTAAGGTTTTAACCACATGTAGAAATAAAACTAAACTGCATAAGATCCCTTGTGCAGCTTACTGTGAAAGTGTGTCTAAATTTGTATAGAAATGTTAAGGTTAATGCTAAGCTTAGAAATTGTTAAAAGATGAGAGGTGATCAGTAAACGATTTCTAAATGACCTTTTAACATAGCAACATCAGAGTAGCAAGCCTTTCATACTGACAGCATAAAGATAAATTAGGCTACTAATGCAGGCTTTATCCATCTTAAGACAAAATTACATGTTTGAAAAACAAATGTTAACGAAGCAAAAACTTTTCAGTCAGTAAAAATAAAAATAAATTAAAATCAATGTATTTGTCCCCCATTCCTCTCCAATCCTTTATTCTAAATAAACACACAAATAATTGATACAATTTGCTATCTTGTTTCTTATTACTTGTTTTATTGTGGTTTTTGTAATATTTTTGTATTATGTAGTTAAATTCAGTTACTCATAAAAAACGGATATTAAATGTACCTTGTATATGGTGGGCATCAGGCTGTATGAAAAGGTGAATACAAAGAGGAATACAAAAGACGAGGCTGTGAACAACAGGCTGCTCAATTCTTTCTCAATGCCATCGTCTGCTTGCAAACATCAGGATAGATAAATCTAAAAAGAATAAGAACAAATTGATATATGCCACATATGTGATTTTAGTATGATCCTTAGACTTTTTCTGGCCTGTAAAGGTAATATCAGGCACTAGTTTTCATTTAGGATATCAGAGTAAAGGGGGCTGAGTACATGTGTTCCAACACTGAAAAAAATCCATTTCCTTTTATGTCACAATTGCGTGTTTGTTGGGTGTAATTTTTTTTGCATTTTCTGGCTTTAATATGAAAGAAAATAAAGTTCACTGGAATATTTTTGTAAAGCAATGATGCAATGATGCCTTTATGCTGTTCCTCAATAAGGTTTGAGGAATGTATAATATGTACATGTAGCACTTGCAGCAAGAAGGCCTTGGGTTCGAATCCCAGCCTGAATCTGTCTGCATTGAGTTTGCCTTCTGCAGAAGGCTGACGTCACAAAACCCTGTCTCTGTGTTGATTATTTCCTTTTAATCTTTTAAACTCACATTTCTCTGGATTAAAACCCAACAGTATTTCCAGCCAACATTTATTTAAAACATTTATTAGTTGGACATTTTGACAAAGACAAATTCATGTCGGAAAAATTAAAACAGTGACATATATAATGACCAATAAACATTCACAGACACTGTTGGTATCACAAAATATACATTTTCACAAAGACAGAACAACACATTTGCACAAATTGATACATCTAAAGCTTAGTTTAGACTTTTTTAATGCACACTTGCCTACCCAGGGCCTTAGATTTAATCTGATCCCCATGGCCAGCAGGTAGCACCCTTTCCATCTCTCATTGGTTGTGTAAACGCTTGTAACTGCAAAGCAGTGTATTTTTTTCAGGGTGCTGCATATGCACATAATCTTCAGTTTTAATTGTAGATTTTAGCCTTTCTTTGTGCTTGTTTTTACAAGATGAGTCACTTCACATGAGTAAACCTTTTTATTGTTCCAGTGTGGGCTCTTCACATTCAGGATGCTGTTGGCTGAATATGTGTCTCCTG